GACAATCATATTATCCTTATTGTTTGAGGACATGGTTCGGTGCACGAGCGGTCCTCGAAACCAAGATGAGAGGTCGTTTGAATGATCGGAAAGTACAGTCCAACTATCAACCTATAGCAAGTTTCAGATAAATATTCCGATCATGAGTGCCCCCCGCGAATGAGATATGTGAGCTAGCTTCCTATTCAAATTGCGTCCGGTGAAGCACGATAATCTTTGAACGTTTTTGCGTCCACCTGTCTTGAGGTCTGAATAATGGGTGGCCATAGGGAATTTCAATTCATTTAGATGAGGCACACAAGTTGGTTTCGTCAGATGACTACTTACATGTGTCTGTAATATGCTGAAACCTCTTATCACTTATTCTCTCTGAATTGAACAAGAGTGTAATTGGCTGGTGTGAGCTTTCCAGATGTAACACACTAGCGTCATTGGGCGCATTCAAGTCCTGTTCTAACACAACCGATGCACGGGTCTGCGACGTACAACTTAATGTGGACAAAGAGCTCAATTCGAAGGCTGTATTAAACGAAAATAGCGACCACTATTGGTTTTCTGACCTAGAGTTTCTGCCAGATGACCCGCAAATCGATTGTTAGCGTCAGTCGGATCTTTCCGTCTTCCGAGTTGGGGGCTACGTGATGCTGACTCCCAGTGGTTAGAAGTCTTGGAGCTCATCTCTCGCAATAGAAATCAATGGCGCCAAAGCTGCGCTGCCGCTTTTTCCTCATGTAATCTTTCGTCTTAATCAAAACAGAGCAACAAGACGACTTTTGTGTGGCGTCAAAAAGCCTTTTGGTGCTGTTTTCATGATTTTATTGAACCAAGTTTTCCCCTTCCAGTACCGCTATGCTTTTTATGGCGCATTTGTCTTGTTAGCGCTAGTCACTTTGTGAGCGCTGCTGAATAAAATGATGCGCACCGTTCCACGCTTTGATACGTTTCGTACTTTCAATGCGCAAAGTACAGCGGCTGTGTTGGGCTGACCTGACACACCACCAGTTCACACCATCACCGAACAACCGCTTGAACACGTTGCCGCGCGCAGATGGCAGCTTGATTCCTAGTATTGACATCACAGGAATGACTGCTGTGTGCGTCGGTGACGTTCGTGTAGCCTTTCATTTCGTTATTCACGTGAAGAAGCGGCGAGATATAGCTTAAGAATTTTAGGAGCATTTACAAGCTGCATCACGACCTGTGTTGTTTTCTACATTTGAGACGTGGCCAGCACGTGCTGGGGGGTTAAGAGGCACCATGAACGACTGCGAAAGATAAAACGGGTGCACCGTGATTAAGTTGATCACATGCGGTATTGAGTTCATTGTTGTAGAAAGTAGGAGGGAAATCCCTTGTCAGCTCCATCGATTCCGTATCATACTGGGTTTGATGCGTATCGTCGCATTACGACGTTCCTAGAGGGTTCGTCGCAATTGCAGTGACAGCCGCAAGATTCCATCATGCTACCAAGCCGCCAAGCGCATCTTTAGATCTTCACTTAGAACTAAGCGTCCAGCACTGGTCAGTATTCCTCGCACACCCACTGAGCTGCGTCTCAGCATATATTGTTTTTGCAAAGTGCACGATGTTGGTTCAAGATTCATGGTTGTCAACAGAGAAAATGGCAGCAATGTATTTCTAAAATGAGTGGAACACTTGTTCGGACTCATCTACATCCTATTTCCGACAGTGATCAATGAGCTCGACAACTTTGTTGTTTAGAGGCCCTTAGTGACGTCGCTTGGGTTGTCAACATCGCATTTGGCTTTCCTCATCTTTTGGTTCTGATATCTCCTACACAATCCTATTGTCTTCCTTCCTGTTCTTCTCCCCTTTATCCCCACCCACCGTAATTATCATAGTGACACAAGTTGCCCCAACAGCGATCCATCTCTGTCTTGTATTTGGCTAACCGAACTGCTTCGTATTTTACACTTTCCACACAAAATCCTGCCCCTGGTTTATTTAAACATGGTGCAATTTCTCCCTGTCTCTACCAATGTGACGCAAGTGAGGTTATATCCGAAATTCCCATTGATGACTTCGACAACTGGATAATGTATGAGCCATAGCTCTTTCTTCCTTATTAACATAAAATCTATTGTCCTAGGTTTTCATACTAACAAAGCCCAGTTGAATGCCCCCATGAATACGCCCCTCACCGGATGGACCTTGCGTCCCATGACCTTCGCTCCCATCTGACGTCCTCCCGAAATGCAAATTTCAACACACATTTCTTCTTGTATTGTTATGAATGTAGTATTCAATAAGTCAGGAGGGCAACCGAGTTTTCACACAATTGGAGTTCGAGTATCTCGCTTTTCGCACTACAGATAGAGCAGTTACTTGGAGATGCATGCACAGTCGATGTTTGAATTGTCACTCACCCGACTGCACATTGTCATGACTCATGTCCTCGAAAACCGGAAGCCAATGATGCTAGGCGTGGGAGTAATTAATGCTACATCTCGTAATGTGATGGGTAAGGATGTCAGTTTTTCGCGATTCCGCGAGAATGCAGGAAAATCGCGGAACTTATAAATATCATGGAATCGCAGAAAAATGAGATTCATAAAGAAGGCTGCCTTGAACTCAGTCTTGTTATACTTAATGTAATCAACAGGTCATATCAGAAAATCAGACAACATTTAAGAGGGAAGATTGCGCTGAATAGAGTGAAATAGTTTTCTGGGGAATATTACATTGATAACGCGGACAAGTAATTAATGGTTTGTTCTTCCTTTGAAGTGACTGAATCCACCTCGAAAATCAACCGTGGTTGACCACATTCTCAGCCAGAAGCATCTTCAGATAAGCACAAAGGGAGGAGGAATAAACTTGTTGCCAAGAGGCAACCAGCTCCGAAGAAGGCTTGATAAGTAGGCATCGTTAGTTCCATCGCCGTTGCGGATGCTGCCAACCAAGCCTGCAACACAGTAGTATCTGACTTTCTACTTGGTATTTGCGAATATTCCTCTAAAGAAGGCAGACACCCTCCAGTTGAGGGAATTTTGTTCACAGGTACGCACGAAATGATGGGAGCATTGTCGCATGTAACGCGCCACGCCTGAAGACTCACCTGACATAAGGGAAACACGAATAGATGTTAAATGAGATGTTCTGTGATACCTTTGCTAACGTCATAACAGACGAAACAACTGATGACTGCGGCATGTTGGAACCTCCAGGTCTGCTCACCATTCAAGTCCAACAAGAACAGTCTGCGGTCATACCTCATTGACACGGTTAACTATGAGAGAGTCAATTCTATCAAGATTAGAGGAGCCATTCTGCGCAGCCTGACAATGATGGGTATCGACTTCAATCGTGTGACGGATTTCGTGTCCAATGGCACAAGATATATGACAGATGCCGTTAAGCCTGTTTGCGAGGATGGGGTTCGCATTTGATGTGCTGTCTGTTGCAACAATTTACTTTAAGGGACCCTTCACAAATTCTCTCCGAAAGTCGACTGCTTCGTTGCAAAAATCAAAAATCTTTTTCGTCTCTCGGGATGAAAGAGGCGTGTCTATATTATCTAACTCGAGAAAGCATGGATAACCCGGTCTTCCCACTTGCACCACCTTCTGGAACCTCTAGCTGGTCTCGGTCGCACAGCAAGTATTTCCATCATTACTCAGCCATGTTGCAATCTGTACAACATATGTCTGTGGATCTCTTAGCCAACGAAACCGCACCGAAAGTCATGAAGTGGCAACGGAGTTTCACTGCGACCGTTGGCAAAAACATCACCCGTCACTTGAAAGGCCGAATCACAGTCTCCGGTAGCGCTAGAGATTTACAACAACCTCTCCATGTCGCTGAGGAAAACGCTACAGCATTCGCATAGATAGGGACTGATCTTTGGCTCCTCTAGCCAAATCCAAAGTGACAAGTTAATTTCCTTCTCCTAAACTGCTATACAAGCCCAGTAGTTGCTGATACCAGAGGCTACTTGGTTTCTGCTAGCCATTAGTGGGCTCGACGCCGACCAGCTGATCAGCTTATCCAGTGATCGATACCGCTATGACAAGGTTCCAGGCTTTGTTGGGTTCCCAGCTCTGGCAACTGAATGGCTAATCTATCGAAAAGTGGTAGAGAAACTGCATGGAGAAAAATATGAGGATACGCAGGCCTTCTGGTGCGGGGTGCATGAAAGAAATCCACAACTGGCAGTTGTTGCTGACCATTATCTATGCATTCCTGTGAATACGGTAGACGCTAAACGAAGGTTTAGCTTACAAAAATGCTGTGTCTGACATGCGTCACAACCTTATTTGGCTTTGTTTTGCTTCTACTGTTTTGATTCATAACTGACATGTAGATAGTGGGTGAACGTGTTTATTTGTTTATTTTAGTCTTTGCGGGATAAGCACGGACTTTTATCGTAACAAGACAGAAATTTTGCGGAATTTTCGATTTTGATAGCAGACATATTTTTAACACATCAGAAATCTTGTGTTTAGTGATGGGAAATGCTTTGTCAATGTTGAGTAACGGTAATGGTTTATATGCCCAAACAGTCATCCTTTGCGTGAAATCTACTGTCACAGAAATGGAGGTCATTTATCTTGTCCGATTACACTCCACTATGATACCCCTGAGACCTACTGCGAACTACTAATTCATGATTCCAGTGTGTATGATCCATACAGAATTCTTGTTTTAGGTGATAAAAAAACTGTTACCTGCACTGGGCGTAGACACAATATACAGAGACGGTACTCCTGAGAAAGTGACGTTTTTCACTGGGCAATTTTCCATATGGGCATTTATGTCCGTGGATTATTTTCTGTGTGCAGTTTTCCTGTGGGCTTCCATCATTACACCGTGCTCACAGGTTGTCTGTTTTCCGTTACACACCACATTCATTTCTGATCCCCTTTTTATTAGAGAGCAGCCTAGCAGTGTGCATGTTTACTAGTATACAGCCAACTTTACGCTACTTATTTTCGGATATTTTGACCCTTCTGATCTTCCATTATCCCTCTTTATTATAGAAACCTTCTCCGGAAAACTACGCTTCCTTTCCATCACGTATAACCTACGCTTGGTTCTGGAGGTCAGTCATCTTCGTTTAAGTTGCTTACAGGAACGTCCTATTGACGCATTTTCCATCATTCCACTGTTTTATCTCGTACTTGTGGTTTAGCATAAGGTCAGAAAGGTAATGTTGCTTTCCAACTGAGCAGGTAGTCATCTGTTATCTCGATATTTCCCCACTGTTCAATGCTGCAGTGCGATTCCAATGTAGCTGTGTTAAACGGGTCAGATTACAACAGAGACAGATGCGACTTCGGTTTACGAAATGAGTCTTAATCACTAAGTAGATACATCCGCGGTCCGTATGACTTGTTCCCCTCTTTTTTGTTTTAACCCCATCTGTAGTAGCCTATTTCTTTCTCTCCCAGTATCACAGCGGTTAGCCTCCTTCCAAATCGGTTAACCACAATGACGCTTCCATTATCAGAACTTTAGAGTGAACACCAAATGTGGATCAATCTCCTCTATATAACTTCGCTTTTGTCTTAAGGAGCTGGTCATATCACAGCCTTCCGTCGGCTTCCCTCGACGGCAAACAACCTCGATGGACGACCGATAGAGTACTTTGATCCAAGCGTGACACGCTGCCTCTCGACGCATGCTTGTCTCTTCCTCTGAGGAAGCCCAGGTCCGATTTTTCAAGGGTTCTGCTGTAGTGTATTTCGTCGTAGTCTGTGGTTACTTCACTGTCGGTCGCTATTGGAAGGCACACTAGCTCTCAGAAATTCTGACAAGCATGTTGAATTAGTATATTCGTGAAGAGTAAGCCGGGTATCCTCGAGGTCGGGACTTCATCAAGCACATCTTCACTTTACGTTAATTGCTGGGGCACCGTCACATATATTGGCGGCCCACCGTTGTCGTGTTCCTCGACATCAAAGGTGCCTTCGATTCGGTGAATCAACTGTCTGCTAAGGTAATATATACCCGCGTAATATGTTACTATTATCCGAGCGTTATACTCACGTAGCTCGGGCAGTATGGGCTTATGCTAAACTGTCACCGCCCTTCAATATCTCCAGCGATCATCATTACACAAATGAAGTAACCGCTCACCGTTATCATTACAGGAGCCTACACCTTGTTGGCCTCCAAGATGAAGCTCATCAGAGGACAATTTTCCGACTTGGGCGTTTAGATTACCAGCAAGCAACACGGTATCCGTACTATTCCTGTAACAAAGGAGATCGTTAAGTTGGTGATAGAAATCATCTTTCCCCGAATCAGTGCTGCAATTCGTGGGGGGCGTAGACAGCAATGACAAGCAGGCACCGTTTGTCCCTGCGCGACTATGTAGCCTGGAATGAGCCAGCCAATCTAACGGCGCACATCCGGCTGTTGGTTTGGATCCAATCGATCAGGGCAGCTTCAGCCCAGCGACATGAAATAATGCCAACGCCAGCTTGACCGGCATTTGAAGCTGTCATTTTTCGACAGGCGCAATGAAAAGGCGCCCCTAGTTTCGCATGTGGGGCATTGCAGAGTAAGCATGGAGCTTGAGTCTTGCAGACGGGTTTCCTATAAGCAGCAAATATCGGTCGATAGGGTCTCTATTGTTCGGGCAAGTGTTACCTGTTGACCAGTTTGTAACAACTTGCGCATATTGAGGCATGCCAGTCTTCGCTAGGATCGTGGATTACAAAAGGAAACGGATGAACCGGCGTTGTCCGCTTAGTTGAACATGGACTTGGCGACTGGACTGGAGCGACGCCCTGTGGTTGTGTGACTTGAAACTAGAAGACAAGCGACTATTGTAACAAGATGGTGGAGGGTCAAGATTTGGGGATTGAAAACTGGGAGGATAAAAGTGAAGTTGGAACGGAACGATAAAGATGAAAAAGCGCAAGAGGAGGAATAAGAAAGCGGGAAAGTCTGAGCAGTAGCATCCATACCCCTGTCCACCCGGCTCGATGCATCAGATAGGGCGCCGTTTCTTATCGTCTGCGACGACCAAAGCATCATGATATTGTTTGAAGGAACCGTCATATTTTCGTATTGCATAGGCAGAGGACCGTCAGGTTGCCTTGTCCTGGACAGTTGGGGTTCTCAACCAAAGCTTTTGGTTCAAAAACCTGACCGCAACGCAGCGACGTTTTGGCACTGGACTAGAGAGAGTCCGTTTTCTAATGTAAAGAGTCATTATATTACATATATTTATTCAAAGTCTGTAGACAGACAAATATGCCATCCGAACCAGGGAAAGGAAGATATATTGTTCAACGAGGTGAGAGAGAGTAAAACGTTCGAAATATGTTTTTTTCAGTTTTACACACGCCGTTTTGTTTTTTTGTTTTTTCTTGCTTTGTTCAACATTAAAAAGCATACGATGAAGAGATGGTAAACAGCTATTGACTCTTATATTGACTCCTATTACGGACCATATCCTCCAAGACTTCCAACTATTGGGAATCCGATTCACGTGGTCCCCAGCCTGGGAGACACATGAATCCAACTGACGCTAGGCACGAGTTTAGAATCATCATACTCCTTTTCCAGGTCATCGATTGTCCGCCACGACTGTCTTTCCCTTCGCGTCCATTAAGTGCAAATAATGCGCGACGTGAAGGGCGGTGGGCCGGCATGTGCTGTACGTGACCGAGCCAACGCAATCGGTGCTGGATGGTTATGCTCTAGAGACCAGGACTCTCCGCTCCAATGATTATGCTTCCAACTTACGCGTTGCTCACATGGTGCTGCCACCATACGCGAGCAATCGAACGCAAGCAGCGATTGTCGAAAGTAGACAGTCGTCTCAAATCTTCCGATCGAATAGGCCAGGTCTCTTAAGCGTACAGTAGGACGGCACGAACTCTGGCATGGTACACTCGGCCTTTGATCTTGAGACTGACATCGCGACGACTCCACAAGTAAGTAAGTAAGTAAGTAAGTAAGTAAGTAAGTAAGTAAGTAAGTAAGTAAGTAAGTAAGTAAGTAAGTAAGTAAGTAAGTAAGTAAGTAAGTAAGTAAGTAAGTAAGTAAGTAAGTAAGTAAGTAAGTAAGTAAGTAAGTAAGTAAGTAAGTAAGTAAGTAAGTAAGTAAGTAAATGCAAGGCAAGCTTTGGTAATTCGTTGCGAACTTTCATCGCCAATACCGCCACCAGACGTAATGCAACCCAAGTAAAGCTGTTAACGAGCTCCACGCTGACACCCGAAATGGTGATCGCAAGCACAGGTGTCTGCGAATCCTGGAGCAAAGCTTTACACTTGGATGGAGCAAAATACAGGCCATACTTAGATGCTTCTATCACTAAGCGGTTCATAATGTTTTGAAAAACCTACGATTCGTCCCCCAGCAAAGCGATGTCATCAGCATAGTCCAGGTCTACGACTCTGCTCCCGGGTAGAAACTCAACGCCGCAGCTCTGGGCTCCTAGTGCGCGATGTAGGACCTCTTCGATGGCAAAATTGAACCGGAACGGCAAGATAGGACAATCTTAACACACTCCACTGGTAACAGGAAACGAAGAAGAAAGCCTTCCATAAACTCTAACTTTGCCAGAGGTCTGACTTTACAAACTTGTCGGGAACGCCGTTCCGTAGCAGACAGTTCCACAGTGACGACCTAGCTACTGACTCAAAAGCGGTTCAGATAGCTAAAAACACTACATTGTTGGTCTTCGGTGGACGTGAGGATGTTCGAGAATTTGCGCAACGTGAAACTTTGGTCAATTCTACCACGGCCAGAACGAAAGGCAGCCTGTTTCTCACGACACCAACTCTCCCGGATAACTGAGAGCCTACGCAGCAGAACGGACCCAAAAAGTTTGGACGCGACAGAGATGTGAGACTCCTCGGTAGTTGGTGCATACATTACGAGTGCCCCTTTTGTGGATCGGAACCACAACATATTCTCCCCATGAATTAGAAACCTCATTGCTCGATACTTTTGTGAATAATGATAGAATTTCGGTGACAACTAGGTTCCTCCCCCCATAAGGCCGGGGGAAGACCGTCAAGGCCAGGAGCTTTGTGGCGTTTCAGAGGCTGGATTTCTCTGCGTATTTCTGCTTCAGTAGGAGGATTTATGCAGACTGTCCAAGGATCACATGATGGTAGTCGATGTATAACTGGAGGTTATGTTGGCCAATTAAAGTGCTCTGCCAAACCATCCAGATGTCTACGTAGATTGGTGATCTTTGTACCGTCTAACTCACAGATGGTCTGACTGATGGCCTGAACTTTGCGTCCGGTGGATCTGATAAAACAACCTGCGACTATTACCAGCAGAGGCAGCAACTTCCATTTACTTCGTCTGTTTAGACCACCAGGATTCACGGCCACGGTAAAGAATCGCTTTCGGTTTTCCGGAAATAGAACGGTGGAGCTCAGCGTGCTCCACACTGACGGGTATAGCTCTCCGATAGTCGAGAAGTTCCACGGTTGTTGCCGAGATTCAACTTTCAGTTGTGCAACGAACAAGACCGCAACTCGATAAACCCACTGGAAACATAATCTGTTGCAATCGCGACCAACGCTGATCAACGTCCCGAGGAGGCGGAGAAGTGAGGTTCTCACGAAGTTGTTTTTGGTATCCCAACTGCACGGCGGGGTCTTCCAGTTTACCAAAGTCGAGTCGATATTGTCTAGTCCTAGGCGAGCCACCGAAACGCATGCAAACCGACGCACGCACTAGCGCATGATCAGTTTCCATGCATGTTGACCAATAGGATCTTCAGTCCCGAATACTGCCACGCCAGCGATGACTTATGGCGATGTGGTCAATCTATGACCAACGTTGAGGGGATGATGGAGTTTGCCAGTTAGCGTAGTGACGTCTAGGGTGGCGAAAGTTCGTGCTGGAGCGGTAAAATTAGTGGACGGCACACAAACTGAGTCGTCTTTCTCCATTGTCTGAGCAAAAGTTGTCGTATCCATGCGGGCCTCCAAGGTGGCGTTCGCTTGGTAACAAACGACCAACACGCGAGTTGAAATCCCCCACCATTATAATGATGTCAGCTTTTGGGACCCTTAAGAGCAAATCATGTAGATTCTGCTAGAATTGGTCCTTGATGGTATGTGG